TTTTTTTTTTTTTTTTTAATCAGTTTTTTAGGAAAGAAAGTGAGAGAGTGGCAGCAGATAAGGAGTCCCTTATCTGGACAAACATGGGGAGATGGAAACAGGCTGAGTCTTCAGCTCCCTGCAGCAGGATCTGTCTGTTCAGGGATGAACAGGGGCCCGCACTCTGGGACTTTGACTTTAGTCTGTCTGGGGATGGAAGTCAGCAGGTGGCTCGAGGTGAGGCAGGGAAGCCGTTTAGATAATTTAAGAAAGTCCATATAGTGGGCTGCAGATATAGCTCAGTGGTAGGGGACTTGCCTAGAATTTGTGAGTCTGATGTGTGAGGCCATGGGTTTGATCCCTAGCTCTTCCTTACGTGCTCAGTTCTGTATTTGGAGCCAGTAAGTATTGATTTTTGCAATATTCACAGATAACCTACACTCGCCACCGTGCTAAGCGGGTTAATGACAGGGCTGGAGGGGGACACGGGGGCAAGAAGGCCAGAAGAGTGGCAGGGGGAGGGTGGAGCAGGCTCTGAGAGGCCTTGCTTCCTTGCTTCCGTGAGGTGTGGACTCTTGCCTGCCTCAGTCTCCCTATCTGTAACCTGGGGACAGAGCACTTGCCTCTGTGGTTGAGCCTGCGTGACCAGGTCCTTTGTACTCCTGTCCTATGCCGGCTGTACCCACGGTGTCACCAGGTCCTCTGTTCCCTTTGTTCCTCTCCTGGCTGTCTCTGGGTATGTGGGCAGGGGGACCCTGGCCTTTGGGAGTTTCGGTCATTTCCTCATGGGGCTGGAACTGGCTTTGAAGCCTGCCTGGCTCCTCAGAAGGAGAGCGGTAAGGGCCGGTGGAGGGGGGAGGTTGAGGCGTGGAAGGGCAGGTAGCAGCACAGGCACCTTTTATTTTTGTTCTGAACATATGAGTCTTCCCTTGGACACTCGCTGTGCACAGAGTTGTACCTCCCCTGTCACACAGAGGATGTGAGGGCCCCTGGGAGAGTTCAGGGCAGGTGAAGCGAGGCCGTCAGCCTCCTGTCGCACCCCAGCCATGCCACCAAAAATAGAAGGCCCACAGGTCAGCCCCGGGGACAGCGGCAGGGAAGCCTTTGAAGCAGGACATGGCCTGGGAGGGAAGGCAGGGAAAGCAGGGCTGTTAATATGCACGGAGCAGCAGCAGGCAGCAGTTGTCACTGGGTTTTCTGTCTCCAAAGCAGGCACACCAGACAGACCTCACCAATCTAGGCTTGGCTCAGAACATGCTGTGTGACCTCTCCGGGCCTCAGCGGTCCCTTCCCTAACAGGAGAGACTGACCCTATGAGTCCTAGGTGCCTTCCTGCCACAATATTCCAGGGTCCCTGCACTCAGGGCCTGGGCCATGCACCCTGCCCCAGCTCCATCCCTCCCAGTGGCGCTTGGGTCTGGCTGTGCCCAGGACTTGTGCTGAGTTTCTGGAAGGCAGCAGGGATGCAGGGCACACAGGAGAGTGGTGGGGCTGCCCAGAGCACCCTCCTGGGAGCTTCCTGAGGGAGGGGAGAGGCTGTGAGCACAAAGACAGTCGTGTCTTTGCGTGTGTGTGGGTGTGTGTGTGTGTGTGTGTGTGTGTGTGTGTGTAGAGGGCAGGGTGACATTGGAGATACTTAACAATCAGGGTCGCCCAGGCATGGCCTGATGCATTTGGGGGAGGGGCTGCGGTGCCAGCTGCTAACCCTTTCAGTCTGGGGTGGGGCTGTCTGAGGTCCTGGAGAGGGGTTACAGAAGCAGCAAGGGAAGCATTTGGGGGGGTTGGGGCAGGACAGGGCCTATTTACTAATCAGGATGGAGGTATGTCACCAAGTGACAACCCGTGTAGCTGTACTGTGACCCGATGTCCGTCAGCCTGTTTACGCAGAGGGAGGGAATAGAGAAGGCGGACGGCCTCAGGAGCAGGTTCCTCGTCACTGCCTTGCAGTCAGAGTGGGGCAGGTCAGCGTCTCACTCCCACCCTTTCTTCCCCACAGCGAGGGTGCAACGAAGGGGACTTACAGCACCCCTGACCCTGGCTTACCTGGGGCAAGAGCTTGCCCGGCAGTTGCCAACCACAGGCCAGGCAGCCTCAGCTCGGGTCCTCAGTCCTCTTCCGCCCCCGCACAGGGTGCTGTTTGGCACTCTCTCCCCACCCGAGTCCCCCAACCCCTCGGTGAGGTTCCCCACCTGGTTCCTCTTGGCCTGTGGACGTGAAATTGAGGTGACATGGGGAGGTGGGGCGTGAGAGCAGGTGCAATTTAAGAGCAGCTGGTGGGGGGAGGCCTGGATTCTTGGTGCACGGCCCCTGCTATGCTGGATGCCCCAACTTCCCTGTGCAGCAATTTTGGTTTCTATTTTAAACAGTTTGGGTTAGTTGCTTCCCTGCCTTCCTGCTGGGCGTTTAGAGTGAGGAGAATAATTGGTAATATTTGCACAGATGTGCTGGTACTGCAGCTCGTCACGGGCACCTTTACACAGGGGACCCTCCCTGCCCCCAGCCTCCCTCTGCCAGCCTGAGGAACCAGCCAGAGGGGAGGAACTGAAACCATCACCACCACCCCAGCCTCAGGCAGGAGGCACCAGCACAGCTGGGAAGTAGGAGGCCCAAAGCCTGAGGCAGGCCTCCCCCAGCAGGGAAGTGTGGGCCCCTGCTCCAAGGTCTGAAAGGACAAGCCCAGGAGATGAGCGGGAGGACCCCAGGCCTTTTGCTAATTCCATTTTTTGCAGCTGAGAGTAGGGATGGGGATGAAAGAGGATGGGCAGGACCAGGGCTGAAAATAGTAAATCAGGCTGGTGAGATGGTGCATACCTATAGTCCCAGCTACTCAGGATGCTGAGACGTGAGGACCACTTAAACCCAAGAATTTGAGATTGGTTCGGATAACATAGTAACAGCCCATCTCAAAAAGAAAAAAAAAACACGCCTGTAATCCCAGCACTCAGGAGGCTGAGGCAGGAGGATCGCTGTGAGTTCGAGACCAGCC